GACTCCTGGTATGAGCCATGGAATACATCCCCAAATATAGGGAAATGATAACACCCAGCTAAATAAATCAAAAGCAATTCATTCACACCAAAGGATGATTTTTTTTTTTTTTGGGGGGGGGGGGGGGGGGGGAGGGGTCAGTTTTTTAAATTTCTTTTGCTATTTTTTTTTTCAATAAGTAAACCTGAAAATGTATTCCTTGAAAAATTGAGCTCTTCTTATGTAAGTGCTTAAAATATTGAGTAACACAACTTGTTCCTACAGCTCTGATGGAATTAAATTTCTATTACTCACTCTTGAGTACTGTTTTCTCCTTGACACCAATAAGGCCTTCTGGAAGTGCACCTTGAGTGAGGACCTTTCTCCATGCCTCTCCTGCCTTCTTCCTTCCCTTCCCCTGCCGTGGGCCGTCACCTTTACTCTGTTTGTACTGCTCAGGTAGACCTTCATCCAGGAGAGCATCAAGGTCACCTTCACTGTCAGAATCCCACTCCTCCTCCATCATCTCCTCATCATCGTCCCCTTCCTCTTCCAAGTCATCCCCTTCCCCATCCAGGCTACCATCCGCAATGCTTCCTCCTGCATCACCGATGTCAGTAGTCCTAGGTTTGTTTCTATGTGGTAAACCACTGAGTTTGTTCGATTGGATGTAATCACCACTAGCATGTTGTCCTGTGGAATGGTTCAGTTCTATGTCACCTTCATCATCAATGTCATTGGCATCCTCATCATCGCCGTCTTCATCAATCACTATCATTTCATCATCACTTCCTACTTCATCTTTCCATCCTCCGTCATCCTCCGGAGGAAACACTTCAACATCCTCTTCCTCTTCTTTCCCTCTCTCCACTTCTCTGCACCCTTCTTCTGTATCCTCCATCATACACAAGTCATTGGCTTCACCAACCCTCCCAATCTCTTGATACGATGATCTTACGCTATCCAGTCTACGGAAATGGTGATCGTCGTCGTCGCTCAAGTTTATATCCAATCCGAGCAAGGCTGCTGCGCTATCTGGCTTGGCTTCTTTCAAGCTTGACTCGATGTCTCTGATTACATCGGGAAAGGCTTCAGCAATATCCCAAGCATCATGATCATAGGCGATGTTTGATGGAGTGATGTCGACCGGCTGGCAGAGTCGCTTGGTAGGTGGGGATTCATCTAAAGCTTCCATTGGGGGATAGAGGAAAGGTTCTACTTCACCTCATCTGCAACCAAAGATGATTTGTTAGGATCATGCAATGGCAAACAAATTCTCTGCAAATGTTAAAAGGGAAAACAGACAAATCAGCAACAAGCTCACTCATGATTAGCAATGACAATCGACGTGCACAGGGAAATGTGTACACAATACCGAGATATTCAAAATGAAGACGTCACAGACCTAGTTAACTTTCTTCTTCCTTGAAATGAATGAAAATCATGAAACACTCAGCCAAAATGAGCACTCGGATATTCATTTCAATGATTCACAGCAATTTATCCCTTCAAGGCTCATTAACTGATCCTAAGAATTAACTAAACTAACACTCATGTCATTTACAATTTAAGTAATTAGTACAGTTGGATGCAACATCAAAGCATGGTACCTGTCAATGGTAAACCAAAGGATAAATGCTCAAGTTGAAAAAGCCCCCGGTACTCTGTATACTAGACAAACTTACACTCTACTGCCTAAAAGGGCAATCCAACCTTGATAGTAAACTATTCTATAAGAAAGCAGAAAAATCAGAAAAGTAGGCAGGTGAAAGTTTGAATGAACTCTGACAACAACAAGAAAAGTAATCAATTTTCTAAAGTTGTAATTGCTAAACATATGGGCATTTCAAATTGGCTGAATCTGTAATGACACTATACCAAAGTGCCTGACAACCTTCCCATCCTTTCCAACACACAAAATGACTAAAATCTAAAATGTCAAATTTTGCAAAATCTAGGACTCGAGAGTGTTTTTCCTTTTTGAGAACCTTTTATAATATGCTACCCACAATCAATTTTGATAAGTGCCCCAATGGGAGAAGGCGCTTAGGAGGAAACATAAATTTATGGTATATCTTGTACACGACAAACAGAAGAGTTATCAGTGAAACAGGTAATACGTCACAATCCAGTGACCAAATTGTGGATTCGAGATTTACATAGCTTGAGTGATCTCATATTTCAAACACTTAAATATAACTTTCTCATTGTTGGTCCAACTTATTTCAAACTTTCCCTTTTCTGTTTCTCTTATGTTTCAGTTTTCATACAAAAGAAATTATTACCGGGTACAAAATGTTGAGGATTATATTAGGCGGATATGTTACCAGCAAAAACAGCATGGCAATGTACAACCCCATGCTCGTCTTGTGATAACATGCTCTGCCTCATGGCATCCACCTAACCATGTCATCAATTAAGTGATCTTAGACACACATGCACAGAGAAAAGAAAGGATAATGTATACAAATAATACTACTTGTTAGCTTTTATTTGACATATATGAACAACATGATCTGTGATAGCTTTGATGCTTGCAAGAATGTCCTTTGTTACAGAGATTTAATTTGGAAGGCATTTGCACATGTTCATCGTATCTCATTGTTTAATTTGTATATCAAAAAATAAAATAAACATGCAGTCATATATATGTACCCTACTCCCTCACCTCCTCCTAACAACTGTAGAAGCAATCATCCAAAATAATTCAGAATGAAATAAAAAATCATAATAATCATTGGCATGCTATGTCCTCTCCAATTCATGAATTTGATGTGTGACGGACGAAGACGAAGCAAACGCGTTGTTAACATTGGGATGCTTACTCAGCTATACTGTAGTTAACCCTAGTAAAGACAAGGCACACTGAAACACACCCAGGAGGTAAGATCAGACCTTGTCTAGACCAGTGAGAAATCAGTACAGTCAAGTTACATTCATCATCATCATCAAATAGAGGAGCCAGGTCAGTTTAGGGTGGGAATAATGAAGGAAATACTCCTTGTCCAGCCCATCATGAGATGCTGACATGAAAAAGCTGATACTTCTGCCAATGAGGAATTGTGCCAGGTATGTATTACGGTAGGTCTAGTCTAAATGTACAATGTATCTTAAAATAAGTGTTTCATATGGTTGTACATTGAATGACACATTCTCTAGTCTATATCTTACACTGATCAAAATTTGAACACCAACATTAATTAGACCAAACACTCTATGTAAACCTAACCTTAAACCAAATTGCACCCTAACCATAACAACAATGATTAACCTCAGTTACCTCACAGCATTCTGAAATAAAGGCCTAACCGCCTAAGGTCGGGGCAACTGTAGCCAGAGAGTATGTCAGAGCACCGTTTTACTGTCATACATGTATATAAGGCACCTCTGAGTTTTACCTCCACAGAAACTCCATAGAACAGGGCATAGATCACCAGAACTGAAATAAACCCAACTGTCAAATCAAAGGGCTTATTTTACAGGTTTAATAAAGAAAAGAATCAAGAAATACAAGTGATTCAAATGTGTAGACTGGAAAGTTACAAATAATTTTTTTTTAAATCTTAATTATTGTTTCATGTAGGAGATTTAAATGACAGCAGTTTCATATTTTGATTTTTGCTAAACATACTTTCCTACATACACTTCAGACGGTCTACTTCTTTTTTCTTTTCTTTTTTGCCAAGATTGAAATATCTAGTCAACCTGGCCTTGCACTTTGATAAAGCATCAACGTGGAAGTCAAAATTTCACTTATCTTTGCAAAAGTGCTGCATTAATAAAATAGTATAGATTCCTGGGTGAGCTGCCAAAGGAATTACCCAACCAAGTGCCTAAATTTAAAGAAAATTCAAATTAGATCTAGAATCTAAGTCTAAAAGTGAAAAGGGTGTTAATTTGTTCACACAAGTCAAAGTCAGAAATAAAACTACACAAACCTGAACTAATAAAATGTCATGCATCACAACACACATCGATGAGCAAGGTCTGGCACATGCTCATCAACAAGAACAAAGACATGGGTCAAACTAGCGACGAATTAAACTATAAAAAAATGAAGTAAAAAAGGTTTTTCGCATTTTCATTAAATAAGAAACCATTTGTTTAGCACAGTAGCACTTTATTTCGTCATCCTACTCTAGATTTTGTGATAATAATAATAATCATTTAAAGTCCACTCCAAATTTTATTAAGTTAAACCGAAAATGGAAATTCTTTTTGCCCAATTGATTGTGAGCCCGGCAGCCACTGAGCAGCGCCAGATCGACGTTGCTCTATCCCTTATTGTTGAACGCCAAACAAGGTAGCAGCAACTTCCAGCATTCTTCCAGTATTTGCGGTAAAGGTAAAGGTATGACGCGGCCGGGGTTCGATCCCACAACCTTTATATGAGAAAGGTGTGGGCGTGCAGACGAGCGAGTGGTTTTCAATAACAATATCTTGATAGTCAAGATTTCTCAAGCTGTAGTGTAAGCCTACTGTAGATGGAGTGTCGTGTTAGAATTGAGATCAAATTCAGACCGAGGTAAGCTAAGCGAGGTCTACAACTTCAGTCTCACAGTCTCTCAGACTAGATAGATCCGCCAGGTGATCAGGGTCTGTGAATTAATTAAAAACCATGCTGATGGCGAGCCTTCATAACTTAGTCTAGACCTATATGCATCTTCTGTAAATGAAATGAGTAAATTTGAATTAGTTAATATCAATAACATCATTCACTCACTCATGTCTCACTCTCTCACTCACTTCTCAGTCTCTCATGACAATGTCATGGAATCACTTTTTGTGTGTGTGTGAGAACACGCTCACACAAATATATGGACAATTATCTAATCTGGGTGATATAAATATTCATATAATATAAGTTTAAAGATTTGAAATTGACAAAATAACCGTAATTTTACCAAATATTTCAGCTGATCCCCCGCCAAGCCCTCTCGAAATAAATCCTGGGTACGTACGTCCGTCCCAGATATATGAGAAATCGAGCATAACTTGTCATTGCCGATAGATGGCAGTATTTAAAATGGCGTTTTCCATTCGCAAAAATGTGATTTCGTCGATTAATCAATATCATAAATTACTTGGTTTACGTGGCCTGAAGAACACGCATGAATACTGGACCTGTCTTCCAATTCAAAATCATCAACTTGTAAGTATTCAATTTGTTTGATATGACAAAGGTTACCCCTTTTAACAGAAAAATAGAGCCGCCAGGTCTGTAGTGAGGCAGGTCCCATGCGTTTACATTTGTGTTAGTAGTCCAGTCACTCCAGTGATCGGACAGGATCAGGAATTAATTGGAAATCGAATAATTGAATTGGAATATCTGTAATCATCCACTCACATGGCCAAGGTAGCCTTACGGGCTCGGTGATTTATGAAATAAGATATTGATATCACCAAACCTTACTTGGTATGCAATTGCCTGTGCCTGTGGCTGTGTGGAGCTGGAGAGCCATGATGTAAAAAACAAAAAACAAATAAAAAATGTGAAAATAGGGTCATTAATTTTTCATTGGATTTGAAATTGAACAGTAGGGGCGCTGGTCCGAGAATAAGGATCGTCTTTGTAAACCCGGACAGATGCGTCCGCAAAAATAAGGATTCTCTGCAGTTTCGCAGACATGTCAAATTTCTGATCTGTGCAAAGGCAATTAGAAAAACGGATTCCGCAATGAGTTTCTTGATGCATTTCACTTTGACTTTGTACAGAGAATTTCACATTATGAGCGATAAATCCTTGGAAAGATGGACAACCTATAATAGTAGTTAGTGAACTGGGGTTATTATTTCATTATGCAGAATCCCTTTATCGCCTAGCCAGCGCGCAGTTCAGGAACCCGAAACCCGCTGAGCGATGATGAAAAAAAAACATTTGCAGACGATCCTTATTTTTTAAGATGCAATTAGTCCGCGTTTATGAGGACAAAATGCGTACGATCTTCAGCACTCCTACTGTTGAAGGAGGAGTCTTTCTAAATGTTAAAAGGTCACACTCGCACACCTCAACTTGCTCAATTTTAATGAAAGTCACCAAATTTCACACAAAATCTACATTTTAATTTAAAGAGAGATGGAGAGATTTATAAATAACCTCTTTGAAAACTTCCAAATTCAGAAGCTAAAGCGGATTGATGTTGAACTTTTGGTTTTGTGCCTGGAATGAAATGAAAATTTAGCAGTTCCATTGATTTATCTACTCAAACTTATGACCACAGGAACTTGTTTATTTTACTGTTCATCATAGTCCAAGCCATGTTTTGTTTTGTTTGATGTAGATCAGTACCAGTAGTATCCAGCGTGATGCAAGTTTTAAGACCAATGAGGAGATGTCGTGGGTGAGGAGGATACTTCAAGGAAGTGGACCAAGTGCGGATGTGGATGAAACCTCGCTGGAAGATGAAGTGGTAGCAGTAGAACCAAGATATATGGAGATACTACAAGAGAAACAAACTAACTTCATCTCCAAGTGAGTGCCCTTGGTGTACATTCTCTATGAAGTAGGAATTCATGAGCTTTTAGATGGTGTACATACAGTACATCTATTTATCTAGATGAGTTAGCGTGGATGTGTCTGGAAAGGACATTTTGCTGACCAAATCATACAGATACAGAGTCTTTAAATGACTAGTAAAGCATCTAGACCTTACTTTCTCTCTCATTCTCTCTCTCTCTCTCTCTCTCTTTGCCTCCTGCTCTCACTAACTTTATTTCATTTGAGCTTTTGTACTCTCACCCTCTTTAAAGCCCATTTTCAATTTAAGGAAAATGTCTTTATCACCAAAGTCGTTTCATCATTGCAAAAAAATCTTGCTTCCAGTACAAACAGATTTTTTTTAAAGTCAGATAAAAATTGAACTATGAATAAGAAACTTACGACTCTTTTAAGGGCCATTCATTGTGCTGTAACTAATTTTCCTTTTATTTCAAGTTTTTTGTAGCTAATCTTAATGCTTTTGTGTCTTTGAAAATGCTCTTCTCTGCTTTATTCTCTATCCTTCCAGACCGGAAACTAGGAGAAGAAACTACTCTCCTCCTCATGATGTAGAAGATAGCCTTGAAGAACTGACACTTCAGCTAACTACCGAGACAGATCCAGTCAACTGGAAAGAGGTCTCATTCGATGATAATCTTTTCAAATTTCAGGTGGGAAGATTGTCAATATCTTTCATTTTTTTACCAAACCAAGCAATTTTAATTTTGTGGCATAGAAGTATGTAGATATTAATTCAAAATGATTTCGTAATTGTCTGTTATGATTATTCATTCAACAATGATACAGAAAACATCAGCTACAAGGCTACAAGGCTGTCATCTAGCAAGTCTGGATGAGTATTTTTTAATTATCATATTTTAGTCTACCTAGTTCATTTATTAAGGCTTCTTGATAAGTCTACATTTCGTTTATGAGCTTGTTACTTATTGTTAGCTCTTCAATATTTAAAAAAAAATACTACCCATGAGCCCATGAGCATGTCTTATGTTGTAGTCTTACACATTGCTTTAATATCATGTTTGTTTTGTATGTTTCATAAACGCTACAGCTACTGTCCAAATGCTCCCAGACGTTCCAACACTCCGTCCCTAGCTATCAACTGAGGAAGATGAAGACTGTTGAGGATGTGCTAACCTTCTACCAGACACCGGTGAAGGATACTTCTGTGTACGATGAACTGAGTACCAAGGAGCTCCCACCAAATCTACGTATACAGTGGGACTACAATGACTCCAAGCTGGAGGTTTATGAAGAATACTTAGAACATATAAAGTTGAAGAAATCAAGAAAGCCTTCTGATTGGCCGTTCAGGCCGTCCCATTGAAGGCTTTATGATAAGAACATTTTGGACTTGATGTGTGGCCAAGCAGAAGTGTGTGGACTTGCACCTACAGTTAGCTGACAACAGACTCCTGCCTTTAGAGTTGTAGTTTGATGTTCAGAACTTCTGTGACTTTATTCATGCCAGAGCTATAGTATGGGGGAAACAGATGCTTGACTTGAGCCTCTACATTCAAGCATGCACAGTGCATTGATGAAGTTTATATAGAGCATTGTTGCTGGATGAAAGTAGCCTATCATACTCTGAGATGTGATGATAAACTACATGTATCATGAGCAAATGAAATGTAACTTCTCCTTTGGTTATTTAAATCATTAGGAAAATAAATGATGAAGATATATCAGTATCATTAAAAATAAATTACAAAATACAAAATGAACTTACATGCAAACAGGACCAGGATTGGAAGTATACATCCAAATGTTTTGTGAGCCAAAGTTGTTTTAATCATAGTGCACATCATGCAATGATTTTTTTATTTTTTTTAATGCTCGAGGACAAAGACTCATTCTAAAATAATTTCAAATTGACATGAATTTAATTCTCTATGAGCACTGGAAAGTCTGAACAACGTGTGAAATACCTTATTAAGAGCTCTCATATATCTATGACGCGAAAGAAGGTTTCATAACCTATTGTATTGAAACGATGTGAAAGGCCTTGGCTATTCATACATCAAATATTAAAATTATGTGCACATACAACATTAAGTTGTTTTAGCTTTGTATAAGCAGTGTTTAATAGCTGGTTATAAGGATTGGTTAAAGGCTTAGGGCTTTGTGTGATGTAGATTTTAAAAAGGGACACAGAGAGAAAGAGAGAGAGAGATAGGGAGAGAGAGAGAGAGGGGGGAGGAGGTAGAAGGTGGAAGAAAGAGAGGAGAGAGAGAGAAAGGGAGAGGGGGAAGGAGAGAGAGAGAGAGAAGGGGGGGGGAGGAGGTAGAAGAGGAAGATAAAAAGAGACGGATAGGAAAAGTATGTTGACCTACCTTTTGTTGGAGTGATGAGTAAACTTTTTTTTCTGATAACATTTGTTCAGGATTTTATTTAGTAGAAAAAATATAGTGTTACAACTCAGATTTCAGTTGGAGTGAGCTTTTGGGTCGCTTAAGGTAGGGAACGGACTCCTGAGCAATCGCTGTCGAAGCATCTGTCGTTGCATGATATGATGTGAACAATATTAATGAATGTTAGGCTATGGCCTGAAACCTGGCATCCCTGCATGCTATGTGAGCTTTGTATACAAGAGTTCCATGCCTTTCAACTATTGAATAGTTCTGCAGTAGGTGAAAGGAAAAGGCCCAGGTCTAACTTGGGTTTCTTAGTACACAAATATAAAATGAACCATCCTGGTTGGGTTGCTTATCTGGGACAAATTGGTTCATATTAGAAATGGAAATTAAATAACATTATTTCGCACAACATACATTTCCAATGCATGGAGAAGAAAAATACTTCTCTTACAGAAAAATTGATGTTCGTTGCATTTCATATGCAAACCAAATAGATATTGAAGTGGTCACTGAATGGCTAGATTACCCAGATGCCAATTTCAGATTCATTTAAACTACTTAATGACCTTTGACATTTGCACAGGAAAATCACTATTTTTTGTTGTGCTTTCATTCAGTCTTTCCTTCATCGGTCTTTAGTTCATTTAATGATTTTTAGAAAATGGTTGACATACTATCTAATCTAATATACCAAGAGAAATATGTTCAGCAAAGTATCAGACATAAATAGGACATTCTTGTGTGTAATAAAAGATTTCAACTTTTTTTTCACATGAATTGAAACATAATAATATTTATTATAGTTCTGAAGAACATGATTTCTTCTTAGTCTACCAACCTATACTATTGGCCAGAGCACGAGTTATTTACTTCCCACATGCTCATATCTGAATTTCTAAATATCAGAGAAGAAATAATTTTAACTGATTATCTTATTTTGTCTGTTACTGAAAGCAAACCACCATTTATAATGCTCTTGATAGCACGAGATCCTGATAAGCTTAAGGCCCATGTGCTATAAACGGCGGTACGTTAAAGCTCCCATAACCAGTTTATTATATTCGTTTGATGTTAGATCAGAAAGTTAGATACTTCTTGTACTTTACAGTTGCACTTCTTTCAAAGTAATTTAAATTGGGCCATATCATATATCAACCCCTTGTTTCAATAACTAATGATATCTTATCAAAGAAGATACAGTGAATGGCTATTGAGAAACTGGATTGTTTCCAGATCAGTGCAGGGCTCTTAATTATCTATTTAGTAATATCCCCCATATTGGGTGGTTTCTTAGCAGTCAGGTAAAATAATCATCAAACATCAATGGCACCCAGGCAAGTGTAATTTTAAACCCTGCTAATGGAAGACTGGTAGTGATAAGAAACAAAGTAATCCACATTAAGGAAGCAAGAAGTATATGGCCTTGACAAACACTGATCAATTATTCACTACTTGGATATTTATGACATTACATTACTCATGTTGAAGGTACTATAAGATATGTTTTATCTTTTTAACATGTCTATTTTAACCAGGTTCAGACAAAAACAGAAGTATCCCTAGTATGCCCCCTTGCATAGAAAATTAAAATTGTATGCAACTCAAGAAATTAATCACAGGTCCCAAATATGTAATCCTGATTGGTTGAAAATCAAGTTACATTTAATCACACCTTTTTTTATTATGGTGTGACATTTCAAGGATATCCCATCACGCAATCCTCAAATCATTTAAGAAGACCTGGACAGTATGTTTAAAGTTTTAGACAGAATATTCTACCTAATAAATAGTTCAATGAGTTATAAGCCTGATAGTGTGATGACCGACGTGATGACGTCCAGATCACAGGAATGTTCCATCTGTCTATAGCTTTCACAGAAGATAGCTTGACAAGTTCATTGCTGATTCCTGCTTGTGTGATATATCCAGATCCACAACTCGATGTTACATTCATCAAGGAATCAAACTAAGACAGGCTGTCCAACAAGGCAGAGAGATAATCCTGCCTCATAAAGAGTTTGATGAATTCATTGCTGAGAACTCGGTCAATACTGAGCAACATTCCCATTTCACAGGAACATTCACAGGTTAAGGCAGGACATAAGAATGACTTCCTCATAAATAGAGTTTGATGAGTTCCTAGCAGATGCCTGCTGATGCCTGCTGATGGTGATAACCACAAAAAAGGAAGAGTACCCATCCTCATAAATAGAGTTTGATGAGTTCATCACTGATCCCAGACGGTGTAAGAACTCCTAGGTCAGTGAAGAGCAGGGTGATGAATGCTGGAGGAGTGTAGTCAATGAGTGGATGCTCATGGTTTAGATCTGCATTGTTCTTCATCTTAGAGGCTGGGTACTGCAGGATATGCAAGAAAGTGAGGGAGAGAGAGAGAGAGAAAGAGAGAGAGAGAGAGAGAGAGAGAATGAGGATATAGTGGAAAGAGTGTACAGATAAGGGGAAGAGAAAAGCAGGAGGAAATATAACTAAAACGATGATTGGTTTGTATCTTAATTGCTGACAATGAAATATTTAGGTATATGGGAATGAGTTATACATTTACTTGGGGTATGGGGGCATTTCCAGAAGACACTGTTAGTAAGATATTCTATTACTATGTTTCCACTTTATAGAAATAAAAAGAATGACAAGCTGACACACTATACCCAGGTGTTAAATAGGGACCTGTAGGAAGGAATTCTTTGAATGCTGTGAGCACCGAAATCAGTAGCCTAGCAGAGCCGGGGTAATATTGGAGCGCTTTGAGCACCTTGCAGGGTGGATATGTGCGCTATATAAGTATCCAATAATATTATTATTATTTAGATTTATTAGGTTAACTAGAACTCAGCCTCATATTTAACTGTATCTTACCTTATACTCATCAGGGACATCTTGTTGGTTGAGCGGGTAGATCATTCTAACAAACTTGAAACTTTCTGCTACAACATAGACTGGTTTATTAACCACCTTGGCACAGGTTGCTATCTGGTAGGTTCCAATCTGAAATAAAACAAAACACAGATGCAGTAAGAAGCTTGCATTCATGGGCTGTCTTGCTACTCAGTCAGACTTCTAAGAATATTGCATTGCATATACAGTCAAACTTGCTTTAGTAACCACCTGTCTACAACAAGCACATTTTTTTGTTTCCCTTGAAAATGGTTTCTCATTGAAACATGTATTAAAGGGACCTGTCTACAAAGACCACTTTTTGTGTTTTCCATGGGCGGTCGCTGTAGACAGGTTTGACTGTATATGAAATTGCATACAGTATGACACCTGAATTTAGAGAAATCATTATAAATGAAATGCCATGTCAAAGGGCATAAAATAGGCATTGGGATGGAATTCAAACCCAACTATCTTGTGATTTGTCTAAAATGCTTCTTGGTGATTACAAATCTTGAAAGACTTACCTTATTGATGATACCTCCACTCTCCACGATTCCTTCTGCTCCCATTATCACCAAGTCAATCTGCTCCATTAGGTAACTAGAACAGTCAAGGTATATATGCAGGAGTAAATAAGTCATGAATGTATATATATATATATATATATCTCACATTATATGGAAGGAAAGCAATCATATATGTTTTTGTTCATTAACAAGATATCCCTCAACTTTAAATTAGAGCCAAGGACTAGACAATAATACATGACTACAATCCAACCCACAGGACCTATAGAAACAAGATAATATGAATTGCCTGCATTCATTTAATCCCCAAATTGTGAATTAAGTGCGCAATGTACACAACTTTCCAAAATGGGTGGTGCTATACTACTATGTAAAAGAAAGGCATTAGTGAATATAAACAAATCGAAAAGAAATCCATAAGGCGGTTTCCTACAATGTTTCTTATGCTTACCAAGCAGCTGAATCCAAGATAACTACAGTTGGAATCCCAATGTCTTCTAACTCCTTGGCCATCTTTAGTCTATGAATTGAGAAGAAACAAAATCAAATATAACATAAAGAGATGATACATCAAAATAAAAGCTGCCTAGAAATAGATGATCTCTTATCAAATGTACATCTTTACATTACATTGTGAAGCAAAATACAGGTTGTGATTACAGTAATTTATTATACTAAGCCATCAATGAGTGTCCTAAGTTTTAGGTATGCAATTTATTAATGAGGACAAAATAGAAAGCTTTAGACACATTCATACATTTTGCAACGAAAGAGAGAAGTAGAGGAGAAAACTAGAGTCCGTAACACAGCAGACAACCACATTCTGGTACAACAAAATCATCTACATTTCAAGAGGAAAAAGCAGATAAGTATCATATCCCTCTATACAAAAACGGCATCTACTTACCCTGATTTGTCTGGGCAAGATTCTGTGACAAAGACATTGAATCGTTTCTTAGCCTTGAATGCTTCGATTAACACCTTCACTACCACCCTAGAGTAGGAGTGAGTCAGAACATTCTGAAAAAGAAAGAAAAGTGAAATATGGAACTATATAAAAATATGCAAATCATAGTTTTCTGTAATCTACCAGTAACAGCAAGTGGAATATCACCAGAAAATTTCTTAAATTGAAAGTTGATTTAACAAATAGCAATAAGTTCACTTTATGATGATATAATTTGGCTTGGTGAGATCAAAGGTCGTCACGAGCCTAATCCTAGTCTGTATTCCCAGGTTCATTTACTTCTACAAATTATAAAGAACAGCA